AGGTGTGGAAGGCTTTGAAGAGCCAGCTACTGTGGGAAAGGTCACCCTTCACTCTCTGGACTTTTGGGTGATCGATAGCGGCGCCACCTATATCATGACACCTCGTGCGGACTTGCTCACCGAACTCGAACCGTCGCCGATCAAGCATGTTACATCGGCTTTGGGGCAGCGAGCAGAGGTGAAAGGCATGGGCAAGGCCATGTTCAAGGGTGCTGATGGGAAGATGGTGGGCCTCAAGAACGTGCTTTTGGTGCCCAACCTTGCAGCTAACCTGATTTTCGTGCGGCGTTTGCAAAAGGCTAGCATGGACACATCTTCCAAGGGATCCAAAACCTATACCGCGAGGCTTGTAGAGCGGAAGCTTTGGCACATTCATGAGGACAGGGACATCTACAATGAGATGTGGCAAATCCCAGTGGTCCCTATGCCTAAAGAGAGGCAAGTGGCAGCAAGCGCCAGCACCAAGAGTGAAGCGGTTGGTGGCGGTGATCACGGAAAACAAAGTGACACCAAGAGTGACTCGAAGGAGTGCAAGCTTGGAGAGACCAGCAAGGCGTGTGAACCCAAGGAGAGTGGTGCAGCAGCTAAAGGTGGTAGAAATGAGGAGGAGAAGCCTAAGATCAGCAAAAAAGCAGCGGCAAAGGAGAAAGGAGAGAGCTTGTGGGGCACAATTGCGATTGCCGCTTTCTCCAACCCGACTTCCGCTACGGGAGAGTGTGATTGGCTGACCTTGAATCGGCGAATGGGGCATGTGGCATTGCCCATTTTGCAGCAGATTATTAAGCAAGAGATGGTCAGTGGGATACGTGTCAAGGGGGAGCCCAATGAGGTGTTTGGCTGTCCAACATGCATGCAAGCCAAGTTCACCCGCTACCCGTTCCATAGCTCGGAGACAACGGCGAAGGCACCACTTGATGAGGTGGTGATGGATGTGGTGGGCCCCTTGAAGCTTGGAGCCGCTGGAGCAGAGTACTTCCTCACCATTGTGGACGTCTACACTCGCATGACCTGGGTGTATGTGCTGCCCAAGAAGAGTGACGTAGCTGAAACGATGAAGACTGATTGGTTGCCGATGGTGGAGCGGCAACAAGACCGACTTGTAAAGGCGATTCGCACTGACCGTGGGGGAGAGTTCCTGAGCAATGATTTCTCAACTTGGCTGAAGAAGCAGGGTATAAGGCACTCTCTTACCATGCCCTACTCTCCTGCAATAAACGGCATCGCCGAGCGTGCGAATCGGACACTCACGGAGACGGCTCGGGGACTTCTCATTGAAGCCGGTCTTCCCAATTACTTTTGGCCGGATGCGGTGCGGCATGCTTGTGTGGCCAAGAACAGAGCCTTGACTCATGTGGGAGAAGACAAATGGGTGCCCTATGTGGAGTGGATTGGAAGGAAGCCGAAGGTGGATATGCTTCGGGTGTTCGGGTGCATGTGCATGGCACTTGTGCCTAAGAAACTTCGGCACAACAAGCTTGATGCCAAGGCAACATGGGCCGTGCACCTGGGCTTGGCCCAAAACAGCAAGGGATGGCTTCTATGGGACCCATTTACCAAGAAGTTCCTGGTGAGCAGAGATTGCAAGTTCATGGAGAACTTACCGTACAAGGAGTGGAAGGCAAAGAACCAAGCGAAGATTGGTGTGCGGCTTGGAGAGGTGAAGAGGACCGGTGTGGAGCTGCCCTTGGAGCTGAGTAGCAGCAGCACAATCACGAGGCAATCTCCCCAAATGAATGAGGATGAGGAGGAGGAGGAGGTGCAGCTAGGTAATGAGCGTGCACTGCCACTTCCGCCTCGTGCTACAAGTGCTCGCGGGAACCGACCGGATTTACCGCAAAGCCATGAGAGCATTCAAGTCCCTGCAGCAGAGGAGGAAGAAAGGGGGAGAAGGAGGACTCAGCCCCCCAATAGGTTGAGCTATGAACGGCTTGGAGGACCAGCCAACTCAACCTTGACCGGTTCGGCTCTCATGCTAGGCGATGATGCGGAAGATGAAAGCGAGGAGTGCGCTTTTGCCTTCTTCTCTCCGGTGGAGATACCGGGGGAGCCTACAAATCCCAAGGAGGCTTGGGAGGGCCCCAATGGGAAGGATTGGAAGAAGGCCTCAGATGAAGAAATGGGGAGCATCATCGAGAACGACACGTTTGACTTGGTGAACCTACCTCCGGGGCGTAAGGCGATCTCTTCCAAGTGGCTCTTCAAGCGCAAGACCGACGCCGACGGCAACATTGAGCGCTACAAGAGCTGACTTGTAGCCAAGGGGTACCAGCAGTAGAAGAAGGACTACAATGAAGTATATGCTCCAGTGGTTAAGGGCACAACCCTTCGAACTCTCTTCGCCGCGGCGGCCATCAAATGATGGGTGGTGAAGCAAATGGACATCGTAACGGCCTTCCTCAACGGCGTTTTGGAGGAAGAGACCTACATGGAGCAGCCAGAGGGGTACAATGATGGGAGTGGCAGAGTGTGGAAGCTGAAGAAACAATCTATGGCCTCAAGCACGCCCCTAGGCAATGGTACATCAAGCTGCGGGAAGTCTTGGAGGCAATCGGCTTCACTCCCTCAACGGCCGATCAATCCTTGTTCATGCTTGGCGAGGGGGAGCAGAGGAGCTTCATGCTGGTTTATGTGGATGACATCCTCATATTCTCACCCTCCTCTGACCTTGTGAAGGAGGTGATGCTGAAGCTTCAAGACAAGTTCAAGTGCAAGACCCTTGGTGACGTCAACTACTACCTTGGGCTCCACATTGAGCGAGATGTGGAGAAGCGGTGGATGCGAGTGCATCAAAAGAAGTACTTGGAGGCCTTGGCTGCAAACGTTGGGAAGAGTGAAGGTCATGTGGCTACTCCTCTTCCCTCGGGGTTCAAGTGTGTGAAAGGACCAGCGGAGGAAAGTGTTGGTGAAGAGGAGAGGCGCCGTTTTCACTCCTTGGTGGGCAGCCTCATGTATGCGGCCATTCACACAAGGCCGGATGCAGCCTTTGCTACCGGGCAGCTGGCTAGGGTTGTCCAATGCCCTAATGAAGAGCAGGTAGTAGCTGGAGAGAGGGTGGCCAAGTACCTTGGCCAAACAGCAACTGTTGGACTGCAATACTCCGCGGCGGCACAAAGGCGTCAAAAGGGTGTGGATCGAGTCGAACCCAGGAGGCTCTTTCTCACTGCCTTCTCTGATGCATCTTGGGCATCAGAACCAGAGGATATGACAAGTATGGCAGGCTTCATTTGCTGTGTTGGTGGAGGCCCAACAGCTTGGGAGAGCAAGAAGCAAGTGGACCAAGCATTGAGCTCGGTGGAGTCCGAGTACATGGCACTCTTCCATGCCATAAGGGAGGTTGTGTGGCAGTGGGGTTTGCTAGCTGAATTGGGGGAGGAGCAGCAAGGACCTACCCCACTCTATTGTGATAGTCAGGGTGCTATTGCATTGGCTAAGAACCCGGTTCTTCATGGCCTTACCAAGCACATGAAGGTGAAATGGCATTGGGTGAGGAGCATGGTAACCTCGGGTGAAGTGGAGTTGCACTACGTGAAGACGACGGCGCAGCCTGCTGATATGATGACCAAGAGGCTGGTTGAGCAGCAGCATTGGAAGTGTTGCAAGCTTGCTGGGATGGCTCTGAACTAAGGGGAGCAGATTCTAAGGCCAACAATCCAAGGGGGAGTTTGTTGGTGCAACCTTATGGCTTGCACTCGGCTTGTCGTCCTTGTTTGTGTGTGTGCATGCATGGCATGGAATAAATTGTGAGTCTATGTCATTGCTATCTAGTGCTTGTGTGTGTGTTTGAATGGTGTATCACAATGTGGTTTGTCTCGGTCAAGACATTAGCGAGTTTTTACAACTCGCATGTCAAGTCGTCGTTTGCGTGTCGCATGTGTTTTTTCTATTTTGTCGAGTGTGAAGTGTCCATCGCGTCGCAGGTGTGTGTAGCAAGCCCCCATCAACTCAAGAAGAATTTATCTTGCAGAACCAAGACCAAGATCTCAAGATTTCAAGCCCAAGGGACGCGGATAAATATTAAATAGTGAAAATAGTAACGCTACTTCGTGTAGTGTTACATTTCACTTGGTGTAGCCCCTTGGAGGGTTTGTTTCGAGACTCTTCATGGTTGGGGACTCTGTGGTGGTGTACCACCAACCTGGACCTCGGCTCTTGGGGTATGTAGAGGCTGGGAACCATCTCCATCTAAAATTCTTCTTCCTAAGTTTTTGTATTCTAAGACTATAGTGGCTGCTGTACCTCCTGCCAGTCAAACCGCCATAGCGTCGTCAAATCTTCATGGAAGTTTATAATTCAACTTGCTGCTAATAGGCGACAGCAACGCGCTTTAGATCCAATTTACAGATCACCGTTTAAGGCACACATCAGATCGGCATCAACATTTGAACTGTCTGACGGAATTCTGACGGTGCACAATTTCTCTCATTTTAGGCACATCTGAGCCTATTGTGTTTATAACAGGCGCGGCGGGACCAGGCAGGCGCGGCGGGGCCAGGCAGGCGCGACGGGGCCAGGCAGGGCGCGACGGGGCTAGGCAGGGCGCGACGGGGCCAGGCGGGCGCGACGGGGCCGAGCGGGCGCGACGGGGCCAGGCAGGGCGCGACGGGGCTAAAAGGCGTGACGGGGCCCAGGAGGGGCGCGACGGGGCCCAGAAGGGGCGCGACGGGGCTAGGGGGGCGCGACGGGGCCCAGGAGGGGCGCGACTGGGCTAGGGGGCGCGACGGGGCCCAGGAGGGGCGCGACGGGGCTAGGGGGGCGCGACGGGGCCAGGAGGCGCGACGGGGCCCAGGAGGGGCGCGACAGGGCCCAGGAGGGGCGCGACTGGGCTAGGAGGCGCGACGGGGCCCAGGAGGGGCGCGACGTGGCTAGGAGGCGTGGCAGGGCCCAGGAGGGGCACGACAGGGCTAGGAGGCGCGACGGGGCCCAGGGGGAAGCGGCGGGGCCTAGCTAGGGTACGGGCGGAAGCGGTAGGTGGGGGATCCTAACCTACGCGTGATACCATGTTAAAGTGAGAACTGAATGATTGAGTAGAGAGAGAGTACAGGTGAATATACCTAAGTGTTGTGCCCTCTAAGAGGTGGCCCTATACAGTCTATGCAAACATAGGAGATACACATGTTTGACACTCGGGTACGACAATTGAAAACGATCCCAAAATCGTTTCCTCCCAAACCGCGTCTCAGATTACGAAAGAAACAGAAGCTGGCACCAACTGGGTGCATCCCAAAAAACGGTTTGCGTCAGACACCCCAAATCGCAGTTACCAAATGTCGCAGCTCGCGAAACAGTTGTTACCAGGGCTGACTTTATCAGACTATTTACTCTGATTAGTCTGAAATCTCAGACCTGTTTTTTGGCCAAACCTGAATTTCCAGATAAGGCATTTTCCCAATCCTGATCCCTTCAGAGTACGATTCTAGGGATCCTGAGAAAATCAGAGTTGTCGCTAACCCAGTACTGAGTTTTCAGAGCACAGCGCGTACAGACCCTGACTCATTACCTGTACAGTACCAACCTTCGAAAAAATTGGTGAAGTCCCCAATCGCTAGAGACATGCCCCACACACCCCACAACCCCTAAAAATTTTCGGCCAAGTCCCCGAACCCTAGAGACAACCCCCACCCCACACCCCACAACCCATATAAAATTTCGGCGAAGTCCCGGAACGCTAGAGACATCCCCCACACACCCCACAACCCACCCTAAATTTCGACTAAGTCATGTTGTCAGATACAGTCCTCCCTAACACCTGGAACAACCCAGAAGTTTTGAACGAGACTTTAACTTTTTTTTTAAACTGCATTGAAATGAGAGTAATTTCCGCATTTTTAACATAGGGAAATTCTCGCCAGTTGCCCGTTTGGTCAACTGAAAGTCTAACAAAATGTAACGGTCACGATCGTTTGCGATCGTTTCGACGTATATCAATCGTTCGATGTTATGTAGTGATTAACGTCCAAGATTTCCCAACCGGGGCGCTGCAAGGGCGCGAAATTTCTCCCACCGTCCTATTCCCCAGCTTCCCCCTTCCCTGCCGTTTCGATTCCCCCCTTCCCCTCCATTTTCGCTTCCCCCCTCCCCTCCGTTTCGATCACTTCCCCCTTCCCCTCCGTTTCGCTTCCCCCATCCTCTCCGTTTCGACCGCCCCCCCCCTTTCCCCCCCTCCCCTCCGTTTCGCTTCCCCCCTCCCCTCCATTTTGATTCCCTCCCCATTTCCCCGTCAGTTTCGATTCCCCCTCTCCTCAGTTTCGATTTCCGTGGCAGTGCGATTTTACCCCCTCGGTTTTTAGGAATGAAATCCCCGTTTCCCACATTAAACAACTATGCAAAACAAGGGTATGACAAGGTCGCTGGTTGGGGGGGGCGCGGGCTGTAGGAGGATTTTTAATGCTGCAAGGGATTTAGCCGATTTTTTGGGAGGTGTAGGAGGGAGGGATGTTTCTCGCTGTGGGGGTGTTTCCCGTGTGTGACTCTGGTTGTACGTCCTGGACCCTGAAAAAATCAGACTCGCTGAGTTTTGGACCCTGACATTTCAGACTACAAAAATTTCGGCTGAAGGCCCTTCAGACTATTTTTTTTTTTGGGGGGGTTGGCTCAGAGTGCCTTTTTTTGAAACGTCAGCCCTGGTTGTTACGTGCTAGGTTAAGTGGCAGGTGTGATTTGGCGTTGCGCCACACGAGATGTTCGCGAGGTCGCCTTGTTCTCGCCAAGCCTGGCTTGGCGAAACCCCAAAGCGCCACACGTGTCCATCGATACCAAAACGTAAACCTAATGTCACCATAACGTTAACCTAAGGTCACCGAATCGTAAACAAATCATGTGCATTCACATGCGTCCAGCGTCCCGTGTTACGTCAATTTCGTGCACGTGTCCCCGCGAAATCCAAACGAGGTTAAACTCGGGTTACTTTTCACGAAATGAATAGAGTACGGTATGAATGATTTGGACCCGCCTTAACAGCCGCTGGCAGGGGCCCTTATCCAGTCCTCATCTGGTCCTCATAAGTGGCCCCTGTGAATGGAGGCCAGCTGCTCCCTAACATCCTTAAACCTCGGCCGCTCTCCCGCCGTCCCACCCACGCACACCTCAATCAACCGCCCCAGCTGCTCCCGGCTCGTGAGCTCTGCTGTGGTCTCCGGGGCTGCCAGGCGGGTGAAAAGGCCCTGTAGCAGCAGCGCCAGGGCCCTCACCTCGTGTGACTCAAAGGGGATGCCACTGTGGCGAGGGTAGGGGAATGATGCACCTGCATATGGGGGGGGGAGGGTGGGAAAGCGGGGGGGTTGAAGAGCGGGGGGGGGAGTAGACGGAGAGGTGTGAGGAGAAGTGCTGGTAAAGTCCCTGTAGCAGCAGCGCTTGAGCACTATTGTGTGACTCTAAGGGGATGGCACTGTGACGAAGGTTGGGGAATGATGCACCTGCATATCGGGGGGGAAGAGGAGGGGAGAGGGGGGGGGGGGGGGGAGAGGGGGAAAAGGGGGGTGTGAAGAGGGGGGGAGAGTAGACAGAGAGGTGTCAGGAGAGGCGCTGGTATCGCTATAGCAAAACTGTGCGACTCTAAGGGGATGGCACTGTGACGAGGATAGGGGAATGATGCATGTGAAAGAAAGAGGAGAGGAGATGGGAAGAGGTGTGAAGAGACGTGGCAAAAAAACGAGGTTGAAGGCATGATGAGTGCTCAGCCAATGAAGCACTCTAAGGCGAACGCAATGTTTGTATTGAAATGCTTCCATAGAGTGCACGCTCACCACAGGCACACCCCACCATGATCACAACTCACTAGTCACAACCCACCATTATCACAGCTCACCAGAGTCACAACTCACCATAATCACCACTCACCATAGTCCCACGATACCGCGAACCCCTCATCATTGATGTCCCCAACCCCATGCATACATCGCCTGCCATGCGTCCACCACAGCGCCGATGCCAGGCCAGCCCCTTACAGGCGTCCTCAGTTGGCCCAACAATTGTCACACAACACCGCAAATCCCTCATCATTGATGTCCCCATCCCCCTGCATACATTGCGTATATCGCCTGCCATGCATCCACTCCAGCGCCCATGCCAGGCCAGCGCCCTCCAGGTGACTTCAGTAGGCCCAACATTTGTCACAGTCACAATCACAACTCGCCATAGTCACACAGCACAGCAAAGCCCTCGTCATGGACCAGCACGTTGTGGGCGTACATGTCCCCATGCGCCCACCCCTTGGCGTGCATCCACTCCAGCGCCGCTGCTACAGTGACAACTCACCATAGCCACAACTCACCAACATAATCACAACTCACCGTAGTCACAGAGCACAGCGAACCCCTCGTCGTTGACCAGCACGTTGTGGGCGTACACGTCCCCATGCGCCCACCCCCTGGCGTGCATCCACTCCAGCGCCGATGCCAGGCCGCTACCAACAGCCAGCACAGAGGCGAGCGAGTAGGAGGCGGTGGGGGTCCAGCGGCAACGCAGCAGCGAGTCGGCATTGGGCGGATCTGCCATCGCGCTGAGGGGTGCACGGGGAGTGAAGGGTACGGACGGCAAGGGATGACAAACGCACTTGAGCCAGTCCCCTCCTCGCAGCGAGCAGACAGGCAAACCAAAGGGCAAAAAGGAAGGGAGGAGGTCGCACGCCAGTGAGAATGGGATCCTCTAGCAGTCCCTTGGCACCCCCCTCTCTCCCTGCACCTACCTCCCAAACACTCGCCTCATCACCAGCCCGTGGGGCTGCTCCACAGTTGCTTCCACCTGCATGCAGAACATGGGGGGTGGGGAGCGCAGGGGCACACGCCAGACAAGGGACGGCGAGAGAAGAGAAGGCCAAGAAGGGGTGTGTGGTGTTGGGAAGGAAGACATGTACCCCCCGCCTGACCACCCCGTGGGGCTGCTAAACTGTTACCGCTCATCTGCTCGATTACTGTTGCCCCACCTGAACGGCAGGGGGGAGAAGGGAGGAGGAGAAACGAACAGGGGGGAGAGGGAGAGGGAGGGAGAGGGAGGGGGTGGAGAGAGGAGGGTGGGGGTGGGGCTAGAGCGGAAGGGAAGCAACGCTCACCGCATGGCGAGCTCAACGCCCATGAGGCTGCTCCACTCCGCTGTTGCAAGAAGAGCCGGTTTGGGGGAAGTCTCAACGGCAAAATCGCTGTTTCCACTGCCTGATGCATGTCTGCACATTCTACCCTGCACCTCTCCCACACTCTATCTGCACCAGCCTACCCCACACACTACCTGCACCAGCCTCCCTCACACACTGCCTGCACCAGCCTCCCCCACACACTACCTGCACCAGCCTCACCCGCCTCCCCCATACGTTACCTGCACCCGTCCCCCCACACACTACCTGCACCAGGTGAGCCTGGTCCACAGCAACAGTCGTGGCACCACCCTTGACTGCCCCATACACGCCTTCACAACCACCTCCCTCTCGTATGCGCCTCCCCCAAGTCACACCTGCACCAGGTGCTCGTGGTCCACAGCAGCCGTCATCGCGATCTCATCCACGGCCCGCCCGTCCGGGCTTGTCTCGCTGTTGAACTGCTTAAACACCACCTCGTGCCCATGCCACAATGCCGCATACACGTCGCCTGGTTGCAAAAAAAACAGAAGGGGTGGAAGGAGGGGTGGAAGGAGGGGTGGCAGGAGGGGTGGCAGGAGGGTGTGTGATCGGACCGTCCGGGCTTGTCTCGCTGTTGAACTGCTTAACCACCACCTCGTGGCTGCGCCACACTGCGGCAAAGGCGTCACCTGAGGTGGGGGGTTCGGGTCTTTGATGGATGAGGACGGGTGGGACCCGCCAGGTGGGAACCGCCAGGTGGGACCCGCCCGTCCGGCCTGCTCTCGCTTTGAGGCGCCTCAAAACTAGGGGTGCCGGGTGGGACCCGCCCGTCCGGCCTGCTCTCGCTGATGACCTGCTTCACCACCACCTCGTGGCCGTACCATACGGCTGCAAACACATCGCCAGTTGGGGTGGGGAGGGAGAAATGGGTAGGGGAAGGACGGAGGGTTGGAAGGAATGGCTTGCACTCCGGGCTTGGTAGCAAGGGAGGGGGGGCGGCACCTCGTGGCCCCTCCATGACGCTGCTCACACGTCAACTGGACGCGGGAGGGATGGAAAGAAGATAAAGAGCTGCCACGGACGGAGGGGGTTGCTGGGAAGGCGGGGAGGCAGGACGAGCAAGAAAGGTTCCTGCCTGTTGGGGTGGGGAGGGAGAGGGGGGGAGGCACGGAGGGATGGAAGGAATGGCTTGCACTCAGGGGTTGGAAGGAATGGCTTGCACTCAGGGGTTGGAAGGAATGGCTTGCACTCAGGGGTTGGAAGGAATGGCTTGCACTCAGGGGTTGGAAGGAATGGCTTGCACTCAGGGGTTGGAAGGAATGGCTTGCACTCAGGGGTTGGTAGCAAGGAAGGGAGGGGGAGGGGCACCTCGTGGCCCCTCCATACTCTGCCAACACATCGAATGGATGGGGGAGGAGAAGTGAGAAAATGGAGAGTTGCCGCGGTCGGAGGGGGTTGCTGGCCAGGCAGGGATGCAGGGCGAGCGAGGGGGGGAGGGGAGCAAAGGGATAGAAAGGGGGACCAAAGAGGAAGGGAGGGGAGGGGAGGGGAGGGGAGGGGAGGGGAGGGGAGGGCAGAGGAGGGGAGACGAGGGAAGTGGAGAGGAGGAGAGGGAAGAGGAGGGGAGGGGAGGGTGCCTCTACACTTTCCCGGGCCACTATGCTTCTCCGGGAAACAATGCTCTCCCGGGCCACAGCCTTCCCTGGGCCACTATGCTTCTCCGAAACACAAGGCATTCCCGGGACACAAGGCTTCCCCGGGGCACTAGGCTTCCCCGGGGCACTAGGCTTCCCCGGGGCACTAGAGGAGGAGGGGAGATTTACTGCCAGTGGCTGGCACCATCGCCCGAGCTTATGCTCATCGCAGTGGAAGTCAGCCACTCTCCCATGGTGTGGGGGCACCGGTGGGCAGAAGGGATTGCTAGCAAGGGAGAACCAGGCAATACGTGTAACCGACATACGAAAGTAAGACACCACCGCTCACCACCGCTCACCACTGGTGCTCAGCTTCAGCTTCAGTTCGCTGCAGGGCGTCGTTGTGAAGGGCATGCCCTCCACGCGGTCGTTGTGAAGGGCATGCCCTGCACGCTGTCGTTGTGAAGGGAGCGTCCGCCACGCCGTTGTGGCGCGGGCGGGGGCAGCGGCGGGCAGAGGGGGTTGCTGGTTATAGAGAGTCACAGGGGTAAGAGAGACAAGGGGCTCACCACTGGCACCGTCGCCCAGCTTCTTCCCCAGCTTCAGCTCACTGAAGGGTATGTCCTCCACGCCCTCATGGTGCGGCGGCAGAGGAGGACAGAAGGGGTTGCTGGCGAGAGACACCCAGGCAAGGTGCGGGAGGAGGGCGAGGGAGGCGGGGAGCGAGTGGAGGTTGTTGGCTGCCAGTCGAAGCAGCTCGAGGTGGGAGAGAGAGCCAATAGACGCAGGCAGGGAATGGAGCTGGTTGAATGACGCCTGCATAACGAGAGAGGGAGAGAGAATTGGCGAGCGTGCCCGGTATTAGCGAGACCGAAGAGGGTGGAGGCGTAGGGCAGGGTTGCACAGCTGGCAGCACAACTGGCCTATTGTAGCAGTCATAATGCTTCCACAAGCACTCAGCGAAATTCGAAAGCAGGAGAGGAGGCGACCAACACGGCTCGGAACTGGAGAGGTCAGGGCGAACCTGACTTTTGAGTCGACTCAGAGGTCGGAGCGAACCTGCAGCTTGACGAGCCTGGTGCAGCAGCCTAGCGAATCTGGCAGCGAGGAGAGGCGGTTGTCCGTGAGGTAGAGCTCCACTAGTGACGTCATGCCGCCTATGGACGAGGGCAGCGCGCTGATGGGAGGATGCGGGGGCGGGAGGAAGGGTAGGAGACATGAGATGACGTTTGTCAGTAAGAAAGAGCTCCCCAAGTGACGTCATGCATCCAACAGGCAAGGGCGGGGAGCTGAAAGGTGGGGGGGTGTGGAACAGAGAGCAGCCAAGGGAGTCGGGCAGGGGACGTGATGGGGATGGGGGGGGGGGGCAAGGAAGGGGGGGGAAGGGTGTGTGTAGGAAGGAAGGGAAGGGGGACGCCACATGGCGCCTAGCCAGGCATCCTGGGTGCAGCCGTTCCGACCAATGAAAGAACACGATAACCGCCCTGCAATCGCACCTGGTGTAGTTTGAGTCGACTCAAAATACACCAAAACAAGCTGACACCAGGCATCCTGGGTACAGCCGGTCGTAGCAATGGAAGAACACGAAAACCACCCTGCCATCGCACTGAGTCTGCTGCTCTTTAGTCCCAGCCAGAGCACCCTTGAAAGCCGACTTTTGAGCCAACTCAAAAGTCTCCTTTTTGAGTCTTAGAAGTCACCTCGTTTGAGCCGAATCAAAAGTCTCCTTTTTGAGTCTTAAAAGTCACCTCGTTTGAGCCAACTCAAAAGTCTCCTTTTTGAGTCTTATAAGTCACCTCGTTTGAGCCGAATCAAAAGTCTCCTTTTTGAGTCTTATAAGTCACCTCGTTTGAGCCGACTCAAAAGGCACCCGGCAATCGCACCTGAGCCTGTTGCTCTTTAGTCCCAGGCGAAACACCCTCGTGAGCCGCCCAATGCTCTCAGGTAGACCCTCCAGCTGGTTGCACATCAGGTTGAGCGTCAGGAGTTTCGTCAGGTGCCCGATCTCCTCAGGCACAGCTGTCAGGTGGTTTCGGCCCAGGTCCAGGTGCTCCAGGTGGGAAAGCTGGGCTATGGCTTGGGGAAGGCTGTGGTAGGGGGGTGGGGAGGAGGGAAAGGAAAGGGGGAGTGCAGGAGGGACGGAGGAAAGAGGGAGCAGGTGAGAGAGGGAAGGAAGGGAGGGGGGAGCGAGGGAAGTATGAAAGCTTATCATTCAACAGGAAAGGCTCCGCACTGACAATTCATCACGAGACGAGTCGCACTGAATTCATCATGAGACGAGTCGCACTGAATTCATCATGAGACGAGTCGCACTGAATTCATCATGAGACGAGTCGCACTGAATTCATCATGAGACGAGTCGCACTGAATTCATCATGAGACGAGTCGCACTGAATTCATCATGAGACGAGTCGCAGAAGCGCCTGACTTTCTCACCTTGTGAGCTTGTTTCTCGACAAGCTCAGTTTCTTGAGCCCAGGACGAGGTGACCTTGGAGTCCACTCAAACGTCCGCGCCTGGTCTTCTCACCTTGTGAGCTTGTTTCTCGACAAGCTCAGTTTCTTGAGCCCAGGACGAGATGACCTTTGAGTCCACTCAAACGTCCGCGCCTGGTCTTCTCACCTTGTGAGCTTGTTTCTCGACAAGCTCAGTTTCTTGAGCCCAGGACGAGATGACCTTTGAGTCCACTCAAACGTCCGCGCCTGGTCTTCTCACCTTGTGAACTTGTTTCTCGACAAGCTCAGTTTCTTGAGCCCAGGAACGAGACGACCTTTGAGTCCACTCAAACGTCCGCGCCTGGTCTTCTCACCTTGTGAGCTTGTTTCTCGACAAGCTCAGTTTCTTGAGCCCAGGAACGAGAAGACCTTTGAGTCCACTCAAACGTCCGCGCCTGGTCTTCTCACCTTGTGAGCTTGTTTCTCGACAAGCTCAGTTTCTTGAGCCCAGGAACGAGACGACCTTTGAGTCCACTCAAACGTCCGCGCCTGGTCTTCTCACCTTGTGAGCTTGTTTCTCGACAAGCTCAATTTCTTGAGCCCAGGAACGGACAGCAGAGCGTCAGGGAACGCCGCAAGCCCATTGGCCGACAGGTCCACGTCACGCAGCGATGCCAGCGCGGCGAGCGAGGCGGGCAGGGGCGAGGGAATGGCTGCGAGTCGGGGGTCGTTGGTGAGCTTCAGCTGCAGGGGAATGCGGGGCATGCGGGGCATGCGGGGCATGCGGGGCATGCGGGGCATGCGGGGCATGCGGGGCATGCGGGGCATGTGGGGAATGTGGGGAATGGGGCGAGGGATGGGGATGGGTTGGCCGAAGAATGGGAGAAAGGATGGTGTAGGGTCGCGTGGTCAGGCAAGAGAGGCAGGCAGCGGTGAGAGGCAGGCAGGGGTGAGAGAATGGTTGTGAGCCGGGAAGGGATGGGGACGGGAGGGATGGGGGTGCGGGGAGCAATGGTGGACTTTGCGCCTGAAGGCAGGCATGGGCGATGGACGCGTGGCTAGCCGGGGGTCGTTGGTGGGCTTCAGGTGGAGGGGAATGCGGGGAGCGATGGGGAGGGGGGGACGGGAGAAAGGATGGTGCAAGGTCGCGTGGCGAGTCTATTTTTGAGGCGCCTCAAAAAAAGAAAGGCTGGTGCAAGGTCGCGTGGCGAGTCTATTTTTGAGGCGCCTCAAAAAAAGAAAGGCTGGTGCAAGGTCGCGTGGCGAGTCTATTTTTGAGGCGCCTCAAAAAAGGAAAGGCTGGTGCAAGGTCGCGTGGCGACTGAGAGAGGCAGGCACGGGGGAAGCGATTGCAGTCGTCGACGACATCCGGTTGGTTCGCTAAACGCGTAACTGAGATAAGTGTCGTGCGGTCTCCCTAACGTGAAATCTACGGGCTTGAATCCACAGGTTATCACGATTTTTTATAGAATAACTCACTCCGATGACCATCTGACCAATCACGAGCCGCTGCAGCGAGGAGTGCCAGCTGTCACCCGTCAGAGCCATCAAGTGGCTCAGTGACGTCAGCGTGACTCCCTGCCGTTCTTTCTCTCCATTACCGTCGATTCCGCCGCCTTTCGCGGGATCCGAGCCTAGGAACACCTGCAGGTAGCGCCCACGGAGGGCCCAGACGAGGCAGGCCGTGCCGGCCGCCGCGCAGGCCGCTAGAGCTACTGCGGCTTGAGGCCCGCCACGTGTCACCGCGACAGTCGCCATGGTGATCGATCTACACGACGAAAGAATATAGGAACTAGTCGGCGTTTGGCGTGGAGAGGAACGGAGAAATTGGCTAAGTAGCAAGTATGAACTGCAGGGGAAGCGGTTGTCGTTTGACGCGAACTTAGCGAGAGCAGCAGCAGTTGGAGAGATTTTCTCAGTCAGTCAGTCAGCCAGCCGTCCCGTCAAAGCTTCCGCGTTTGCAGCGATCGATGATGCAGGCAGCAGATACCTACCCAGCGACTCACTGCAAGTGTTGCGGAGCTTAGGACGGCAGGACCTACAGCACCTGAGGCTATGGCAACTGATTGTACTGCTCTCTTATCAGCCAAAGGTTGGCTGGGGATGAAAGTTAGAGCGCGGGAGACGCGGGGAGGTGGTTGGGGGAAAGGACGGCGTGCAGGGGAGAGTGAGGAAAGGACATTGCTTGGAACTCATCCGCCCGATTCCCGAAAGTCTCACACCAAGCCCTCGGGATTGTGCGACGCCCGTACGTCTTTGAAGTGTTGGCGAAGTCAGACTCGAAACGTTACTCGTGTCGCAATTTTCTGTGACATCCTGGATGGCCCAATGACGACGCTACTTTTTCGTGCGTATTCGCAAGCATGCCGTGCCTGGCTCTCTGGAACGTCCGATTGCTGTCGGTTGGTGGGAGATATTGGTGGGCTGTGGAGTGGAACCTGTGCTGTACAGTGCTTGTTTGGCGCGAACCAATCAAGGCTCGCACCTCGATTCCGTCCCCGCCTGACTGGTGGTCCTCAAAATTCGTGCGACTCGTCAGTCCCTTTCCAACAGCACACCTTAAAAGCCGTACAAAGTGTTCTTACAACGTTTCATGCACAATAAATCCCCTTATAAACCGGAGAATCACCTTTCACTTCTCGATATTACCCGCTCACCGCCAAAGCAGCAGTTGCGGACGGCGGTTGATCCCCATTGCCTGTCTGCTGCTTTCCCCACGTCTCGCTCTTCCTCCGCCTATATTCTTGGGAAGTTATGGCTGCCCAAAACCGACCAGCCTCAACCTCTCTTGTCGCTGAACCACCCGTCGTCTCGGCTTCGTCGCCCGCTTCGGACACATCGTCAGATTTGTAGACCATGAAGCAGCAGCTTAGGGAGAATCGCACCGCATCACCGCTGCTAACCAGCCAATTGGTGTCCAGAGCACCAACACCGCTAACCAACCAGACACGGTGTCCGATTGCACTCCAGACAGTTCCGGCCAATCCGCGACTGCCAGGTGTCCGGCGTCCCCCTTGTAACTTCGACAGTTTAGACTCCCAGCCAATAAGGTTTCCGACGCACAACCACCACCTGCAGCGCGTCGCTAGCGACTCGTCCTTGATAGTCGCTCATAAAAATAACTATTATAAAGGACCAGTAGCCGCCATGGAGATCAGTCTACGAGTCATCGGTGGGGATCTGTCCTCTCCCGCAACCTCTCGAGCTCCAACCGCCGTACCTCGCCTTTCGTCCCATTCCTCGCGATTCTCCTATCGCCTCTCCGTCAGCCGCCGTCAGCGCTTTCCCGCCCGGCCGTCAGCTCCGTGCTGGCCGTTCTCACCACTCTCTCTTCCGTCACCTTGTCTCGCGTGGCGAAGCCGTGCCGTTTACCGACGCCGCCATTACGCGACCTTCTATCTTGACGGGCCTTAGAACTCGAATTTCTCACCCCATCCACGTCGCGACACTCACTCATGACTCCATCCACGTGGACCTCCCCGCGAGGTCTAGAAACTGACGATGGTGATCGAATTACAGCCGTCCACGTGGCATGGCGAATCGCCGTGGCGCTGTTACTCGTCCTGGCTGCGGGCCCTCTAAGATCGGACGGCGCGGCGCGAGGAGCAGCGAGCGAACCACGTGCTGCCACGTTGGTTCTTCTCACGGACAATAAATTCGGCGCACGATGCCTGGACGGCAGGTATGCACGGAGTGAGGTCTTTTACAGGTGGCTATTGAGTCGACTCAAATATCACGTCAAAGACGGCGCGTGATGCCTGGAAGGCAGGTATGTACGGAGAGAGGAACCTGCCATTTGCAGTCAAAACTTATTGATGGTTTGGAGTGGGGCCCTGGACCACGTCCAGTAACCGTGTTCCGAGTTTCGAGTCCCTCTACTAAGAATCAGCATCTGCTTGTACAGAACTTATGCTCACAAACTTACTGCTGTGAATCTGTCACTGCTCACAATCTTACTGCTGTGAGTCTGTCACTGCTCACAATCTTACTGCTGTGAGTCTGTCACTGCTCACAATGTTACTGCTGTGAGTCTGTCACTGCTCACAATCTTACTGCTGTGAGTCTGTCACTGCTCACAATCTTACTGCTGTGAGTCTGTCACTGCTCACAATCTTACTGCTGTGAGTCTGTCACTGCTCACAATCTTACTGCTGTGAGTCTGTCACTGCTCACAATCTTACTGCTGTGAGTCTGTCACTGCTCACAATCTTACTGCTGTGAGTCTGTCACTGCTCACAATCTTACTGCTGTGAGTCTGTCACTGCTCACAATCTTACTGCTGTGAGTCTGTCACTGCTCACAATCTTACTGCTGTGAGTCTGTCACTTCTCACAGTCTGACCTGGGAGGCATGGTTTGATTGACATGCCTTCTGCTCCCCCTCTCCCCCTTCCTTTTCCGCGCTCACCGTTCCAGCCCACCGGGGTATTACCTGCGCCCAGCACCTACAGAACGCAGCACCTCGTGGCACATCCCTTCATTCCCCCATCCCCCTTGTCTTCCCCCGCTCACCTCACCTGTCCACCTTTCCAGCCCACCGGGGTATCACCTGCGGGGCGGGCAGGACCTTGGGAAGGCATCACGACATGGCATGGCACATCCCTTCATTCCCCCATCCCCCTTGTCTTCCCCCGCTCACCTTTCCAGCCCACCGGGGTATTACCTGCGGGCAGCACCGTGGGAAGGCATCACCACGTGGCACATCCACTTCCCGGGCGGCGGGTGGTGCGCCACCAAGAGGGAGTGCGGATGGCGCGCCAGGCGGCTGCTGGGGGGCACCACCATGTGGCCGCCCACAAATAATGTAAGTGAGAGCATTCAACCATTAAATGGTAGTGGCCAAACCATTTCCCCCTCCGTCTCAACTCTCCCCCCCACCCACCACCCCCTGCGCCTCCTCCTCAAAGTCCGCCCCCCTTCCATACCCTCTCTTCCCCTCCCCCACCCTCTCTCCCCCTCCCCCAGGTCACGTGGGCGCAGAACCGTTTTGGGGGCATTCTGAGCAGCAGCGGGGAGGCGAACCCCTCCTTTGCGCAGTGGCACCTGGCCATGCCGGTGTACTGCGACGGGGGCGGGTATGCGGGCACGGCCGGGCAGGTGGCGGTGGGAGGGGGAAGAGTTGTTTATATGGACGGCAGCAGGATCGTGGGCGCCATCCTGGAGGGTACGGTGTGTGCTGTATGGTGTATGGGGATTCAGTATTGTCCTTCGATGGGGTGGCTATGCGGAAGGGGGGCTGGCAGTAACGAGTCTAACCTTTCCCCGTCAACCCCCTTGTTTCTATCTTTCGTCCTCACACCACGAGCCAAGCCCTTTCGCCGGCAATCACTGTTTTCATCGCTGTCAGTGCTGCGCCTCTCATTCCCCTTAAAGCCTTTCTCGTGTTTCCCCTCCCCTCTCACCCCTGCAGACCTCCTCACCAACCGCGCCCTCTCAACCGCCACCACTGTTCTGATCTCCGGCACCTCTGCGGGAGGGCTGCCAGTGATGCGCCTGTGCGACGCCCTCGCTGCCCTTCTCCCCCGCGCCTCTGTCAAGTGCTTGCTGGATGGCGCCTTCTTCCCTGGTACGTATCACTTAATTTTTTGAGGCGCCTCAAAACTTTATCTGTCCCCGGCTTCCTATTGAGCACCCTATCCCGTGTTTCCTTGCAAAGGTTCTCCTCTTATTACTCGGGCATGTCACGCCTGGCGTTGGCACTCAAAACCCACATGCTTTTCAACCTCTCCCGATCCTCCCACACCCCACTCCCTCCCCCCTCTCCGCTCCCCCAACCCCCCTTCCCCCCTCCCCAGACGCCCCGGACCGCAATGGGCGCATGCACTTCCAGCGCTTGGCGCAGCAGGTCTCAGCACTGCACCAGTTCTCCCCCCAGTCACGCTGCGATTTACGTGCGTGCGCTGTGTGGTGTGTCGTGCAGTGACCCCTGCATCTGAACGACAGTACCTAAGGTGCATCTGAACGTCTTATCGTTCCTTCCTCTCCTCCTCATTCTACTCTTCCGCCTACCCCTGTTCCACATTCTTGCCCTGCAGTGACCCCTGCGTCTGAGCGCTGGCGATGCTTCTTCCCCCAATACGCCCTCCCGCTTGCCTCCTCCCCCTTCTTTATCGTCAACCCCGCTTTTGACAAAGTATCTCTCTTCATCGGTAACCAGCTTCCCAACATCACCAACCCTGTAGCGTGCCTCAAGAGGATAGTCCGCTCGCAGACCAATGTCCTGGCTTCATTACAGTCACGCTTGTTTCGTCCAGTGCCAGAGGGTAAAGCTGGTTGGTGCACAGAAAGGGAGTGCAGTGCAGCACAGAGTACAGCAGCAGCGGTGTACAGTAGCATTCTCAGTATAGTGCAATCCAAGAAAGGGTTTGGTGCGTTTGTGCCAGTGGGGCTTGTAGCCCACAGCACAGTTACTTCACCGCTGTGGAATTCTATGAAGGTTGCTGGAACTCCGATGCTTCTAGCTGTGGCGAGGTGGGTGGCTTCGGGGAATACCGGTCATCCACTGCTCTACACTTGAACAATTCTATTGTGTTCTAGTGGTACCAGGGAGTATGGTCAATATGGTATTGATGTGATTTCGTGGCATCATCAAAACGGATGTCAATATTGTTACTGTATGCTTACAGTTTTTTATTGTTTCAATGTACACCACTAAATTCGCAATGAAGGGAAGCGACGAGCGAGATGTTACAAGCCGAACAGCACCACGTCAGCGCGTTGATGCCACATCACCTCGCAACACTTCCTCGCACACTCCGCATTCGTCGCTCATCCCTCCTCAAGTCGCATAACTCAAACTTGTTACAGCTGGGACCCCTCTTTACCTCCCTTTAGATGCAACTTTGATGGATGTTGCAACCGAAGTTGCATTTTCATTGAATCTAATTCAGATCGGACGGTCGAAATTTAATAGAATGCCTAGATTACGTTTCATGCTGCAGTTACTGGTTCAAGCTGCTGAAAGCACGCACTCTCACCAAAGCACGCGGTCGTTCGCTCAATTCACGTTCAGTAATCTGTAGGGAACCACGTCAGCTGGAAATGCGTCAACAGTTTCAACCTGCTCCCTGAAATCCTGGCCCCTATGAGGCCCAACCGCAGCGCACGCAACCCAAATTCGCGACACGAGAAATCGTGCTGGAACGTCCCACACCAACCCGTAATTCCACGGGCGTTCCAGCCCGCCCCCTCCCAGCCCTTGCGCCCATTTCCCCTCACCCGCACCGCTGCTCGCACCACCATGACAGTCGGCGCCCAGGGCTGGGCGGCGCTGGTCGTTCCTCGCCCCGTTGCCAATGCTGATGTCGGTAGGTAAGACTCGCCACAAGGCACGGGCCGCAGCTAATTCGAACTGAGTTCTGAGTCGCTCGCGATACGAGAACTTAAAGCGGTCAAGACTTTACTCGTGTACGCATAGGCGGGGATGTTAGCGGTGGGGCTGCCGCCTCATGGCACCTCATTTGACTGCGCATGAGCGACATAGGAACGAGCAAAGCCAGTGAGATAACTCTATAGCCACTGAGGGGCGTCAGGCCGCAGGCTGTGTGTAGTGGATCGCGGGCTGTAGTTGCGGTGTAACGGTCGTAGTCGTGGGGTCCGTCTAGGAATGGGATTGACTCTTCCGTCCGCCAGAAGTAACTTCGACGTTTTCGCAAGTTTCGTTATCCTACCTCTCCCAGCAGTTGCCTCATCGGCTTATCCAGGAGCATTGAGAAAAGGGGGAGCGTTGACGAAGGCGTTGAAGGGCAGAGGATTGGAAAGGGGTGCGGAGGGGCGCGCTTAGGGATCGGGGAGGGGTGCGGAGGGGCGCGCATAGGGATCGGGAAGGGGTGAGGAGGGGCGCGCATAGGGATCGGGGAGGGGTGAGGAGGGGCGCGCATAGAGATCGGGGAGGGGTGAGGAGGGGCGCGAAGGGGCACGATGCGAGAGCGGCCAGCGATGGAGAGACGACGGGCGGTGGGGCGGCAGCCGTCGTTGCGCCTCTGCATGCGCCTGGCGTTCGCTCTCTTTCTCCTCGCAGCACACGCTGAACGCGGTTTAGCGGCGGCTTCTAATTCAACGAGCGGCGGCAAGAGCGACGGAAAGAGCGGCGGAAATGGTGGCGGAAAGGGCGGCGGACAGAGCGGTGGAAAGGCGGGCGGTGCGAAAAAGGGCTCAACGCATGGTGCCAAGGCGAGCGCGAATGAGGCCGGTAAACCAGCCGGTGACGGCATCGCGCGGCTCGTTCTGCTGCGCAACAACTCGTTCGGCGCGAAATGCCTCGACGGCAGGTGCGGAGAATTTCGCTTCGGCGTTGAATTGATGGGCGTCGCGCCATGGTTGCTGCAATTACTGTAGCGCTGGTTCGTCAGCACGTTAGTACGTTACACCCTACCCGCACCTCGCCTGGTTTCTATCGCCGCGAGGGTTACGGCGGTAGAGCCAACTCCTGGCACATACACTACCGTCTTTCCCCCATTCCCCCCCGATCCCCCCCATTCCCCGCACCATTTCCCCCATTCCCCGCACCATTCCCCCCCATTCCCCGCACCATTTCCCCCCATGCTCCGCACCATTATCCCCATCCTCCGCACCATTCGCCACTCCATTTCTTTTGCAGCCCGCCTGGCTATTATCGCCGCGTGGGCTACGGCGGCGGAACCAACTCGTGGCACATCCACTTCCCTGGTGGCGGGTGGTGTGCGACGCGCGACGAGTGCGCGGAACGTGCGACGACGTTCCTCGGGTCGACGAAATACATGCCGCAATCGTCCCAGGCGAGTGCGACTGAGGCGAGAGAGTGACAGCAGCGGAGGGTGCGCATATAGAGGGTGCGTATGTAGAGGGTGCGCATATAGAGGGTGCGCATATAGAGATGACTGGGATCCTCTTCCCCCAGCAGCCAGAGAGCCAGCTTGACTTTGTTAAGGCGCCTAACAAAACCTCTCTCCTCGCTCCTCCAGGGGTCATGGGTGGGCGGGCAGATGACAGGAATTCTCTCCCCCCGGCATCCGGAGAACAAGCTCTTTTACAACTGGAATCTCGCGCTGCTCGCCTACTGCGACGGAGGCGGCTACGCGGGCAGCGCGGGGAAGGTCGCTGTGAAGAGCAGCGGGAAATCGGCGGTGTTCATGCAGGGCGATGCGATCGTTAAAGCCGTGCTGCAGGGTGAGTGCTTTGCAAGTCGACTCAAAGCAACGGAGCAATTCATGCAGGGCGAGTGGCTGAATTCGAGGGGCAAGGTGGCCGGCTGCAGGCTGCTGGCTGCTGGCTGCTGGCTGCAGGCTGCCGGCTGCGGGCTGCACTCCGGGCGATCACCCCCTTCTGCCGCATCTTCTCCTTCTTCCTGCCGGAACTCCCTTGTCTCTATCTCCCCTTGCCGCATGCCACGACCGGAACAGAACGCAAAACCCCGCCAATGCTAAACGCCATGACATGAGCGTCGCGCATGCTCAATTCAGGCTGTTCTGCTGGCCGCTTCCCTTTCACCCCAGCCCCCCTCTCCCCACTCCCCCTCTCCCCACTCGTTCTCCCCCTCCCTCTCACCCCTCTCCCTCGTTCTACCACAAGCAGACCTGAACCGAACGAAGGGCGGCCTGGGGTCAGCCGCGCGCATTCTCGTCTCGGGCTGCTCCGCTGGCGGCTTCCCTGTGACGCGCCTGTGTGACTCCGTGGCGGCCGCCCACCCCAAGGCCAACGTCAAGTGCATGATTGACGGTGGCTTCTTCTTGGGTAAGAGGGCTTCACTCGGAGTGGGATGTGGGACGACAAATCCGCTTGTACTTACTCACACGCGATCTGTTACTCTCCTGGGATCTGTTACTCTGTGGCTTGCCGCCATTCCAAAGGCTGATCAATATGGTAAAGAGCTGCATTCTAATGGTTGCAACCCTGTGCTAGCACCCACCTTTCTCCCCTATCTCTGCTCCCCCCCTCCAGATGCCAAGGACCGGCTAGACGGGTTCACCTTCAGATCAATCATTCAGAATGTTTCGTCCCTGCACAGATTCACTGACAGCAAGTGCAGCCAAGGTAAACGATCAACTGTTACTCACATGCACTCAAGCAATTTCATACCTGTCCAGTCTCCGACTAATTACTTCATCATTGCGCTGTGTTCTCAGGTATGGAAGCGTGGAAGTGCATGCTTCCTGAATACTCCTTAAAGACAGTCTCAAGACCCGTCTTCATCACTAATGCACTGTTCGACTATACAGCTCTCAAACTGTACAACCAGCTGCGAGACACCACGTATCAAGTCAACAACAGGTGCTTACGGCAAATAATTTGGAGCCAAGGAAGCCTGCAGAAGGCTGTGACGTCCAACCAATGGAAGCCCTTCAATCCCAAGCCCGGAGAGTGTGATGCGACGTCCCGCAGTATAATACAAGCCACAGTCACTGATCTTTTCAATAGGATGAAAAGCAGTGTGGAGGGAGAGAAGAACTTAGTTGGCTTTCTGGCATCGGATTGTGTGGGTCATTGCGTGGCCACTACATCTCAGTGGTTCAGCCCGCCCAGGAACAACACATACATGAAAGATGCTGTTGTAAACTGGTTCAAGGGCAAGCTATTAGGTGGAAAGTTGTACTTTTGATATGGTGTATACCTCTTGTTGCAAGCCTTATTGTACTATGGTTGTTGCTGAATAGTGCTCCTCCATCTTAAAATAGCACTCATTATCGAACTTGAAAATTGAATGATAGATAGAGTGAGAGTACACAAAGATATACCTAAGTGTTGTACTCTCTAAGAGGCGACCCTATACAGTCTATACAAACATGACAAATACACATGTTTGACACACCCCCTAGACTGCATAGGGGAATGCCCTAAACAAACAGCTCAGGGCGGCACTACTAGTCCAACCTCTGAGACAAGGATCTAAGAGACCAGTCAGAAGGAGTACAAACAAGGCAAGAACAAGGGCAGGGCGGCACTACTAGTCCAGCCACTGCGAGAGGACACAAGTCCAGTCTGAGTATACATATCAAGGACAGTACAAGTCAAGGTCCTAGCAAGTGAGAGGCTACAGGAACTAGACCAAGCTGTACACAGTGCCGCTGATGATCTTTAGGCGCAAGCGTCTTCGTAAAGATATCAGCCGTGTTGGCACCTGAGGCCAAGTGTACTACGCGAGCCTGACGTCGCTGCTGTAGCTCACGCAGGAGGAAGTACCGCAGCTGAATGTGCTTCGCTCTGCCCTCGAGTCGAGGCTCCTGACACAGGAGGATCATGGCCTTGTTGTCAGCGAACAGGACCAGGGCAGAGCTAGGCCGCTCACCTAAGTCAGTGAGCAAGAAGGTCAGCCAGCGGAGCTCCTGTGCCGCCATGGCACCAGCGTAGATCTCGGCCTCACAGCTGGACTGCGCAACAGACGAGGAGCGGGTAGCTCTCCACGAGACGGCACCTGAGCCAAGGCTGAAGCAGTAGCCCTGGGTAGACCTGAGTGTCTCAGCGTCGTCTGCCCACGAAGCGTCTGTGTGTCCAGTAAGGACCACTGGCCTGCGTCCTCCTAGCACTAACCCCATGCCCGATGTACTAGCAAGATAACGCAAAACCCTCTTAGCAGCAGACCAGTGTTGCGGTCGGTGTCTGCCTGTGGCCACAAAGCGAGCCAGGATGCTGAGAGGGTATGCGAGATCTGGGCGAGTGCAAGTCATCAGGTATATGAGGCAACCCACCAGCTCTGCGTAGGGGCCGCTGGGCTCTACCAACTCCTCAGACACTGGAGCGGAGAGTCTGTGGTCTACAGGCAGAGGGGTGGGCTGTGCAGAGGAGAACTGAAGGCTGAACCTCTGAAGGACCTGGCGCACCAAGTGTGACTGAGTCAGGGTGATGGTGCGCGCAGCTCTGTCCCTGGAGATATGCAAGCCAAGGTAACGGCGCAGTTCTCCAAGGTCAGTGCACGTGTGTCTCTTCAGCAGCTCTGCCTTCACGGAGGCCAGTGCGTCCTTGTCAGCTGTGGCAAAGACCAGGTCGTCGACGTAAACAAGGATGTAGAACGGAGTCTGGCCAGCACGAACGAAGAGTGAAGGGTCTGCGGAAGACGGAAAGAACTGCAGGTCAGCAAGTGTAGCACGGAGAGTGTCGTGCCACTCACGGGGAGCCTGGCGCAGGCCGTAGACGGGGCGCCGCAGGAGCCACTGGGTCCCAGGAGGGAAGGTGCCAGTAAAGCCCGGAGGGCGACGTAGGTAGACCTGCTCGTGTAGGCTGCCCTGAAGGAAGGCAGTGGAGAAGTCGAGGGAGTGAAGCTCGTAGTCACGCTGAGCAGCTAGGTGTAACAGAACCCGAAGAGTAGTCATCTTCGGGGTCGGAGCGAAGGTCTGGAAGAAGTCCACCCCCTCGCGCTGACTGAAGCCTCTAGCCACATAGCGCGCCTTGAAGACAGGCGGCTCTCCAGGAGGGCGCTTCACCTTGAAGAGCCAGCGGCCATCGACTACGTTCACCCCAGGTGGGGGAACTGCGTCGACGAAGGTGCCGGTGGATCTCCAAGATGCCATCTCCTGCTCCATGGCAGCTATCCACTGCGAGGCCCAGGGTCCCGAAGTCGCCTCAGCGTAAGTGCGAGGGGTCGGGATGTCGAAAGCGTCTGGGTCACCCTCAGGGACTAGCAGCATGGAACAGAGATGGGGAGCAGCCTCGGAGAGGAAAGCAAGCTCGAACTGGCGGTCCTCCAGGACGTCACTGCCAAGGGCAGGAGCACCCCCGACAGACGGAGGACAGGCAGGGTCAGAGACCAGAGCGGAGGCGTAGTCAAGGCGGCGGGTAGAGGCGAAGTCAGCGACAGCAGCGACAAGAGCGTCAAGGCACGAGGCCGGAACAGACGGGTCGGTAACGAGAGAGGCAAGGACCCGAGGAACAAGGGGACGAGCGGCACGAAGGTAGTCAGACAGCAGGGGGGGTGCAACAACAAGGGAGGACGGAGGAGGCGACGGCAGAAGGGGAGGACGAGACGCGTGGGAACGAAGCAACATAGGGTGAGAGCGCAAGACAGGCGAGGCAGGACGAGCACGGGAGGGACGGTGAGACCAGACGTGCGACGGAGGAGTCGGGTCAGGAGACAGAGGAGGGGACACAGGAGGGGAACGAGGGGGGAGACGGGCCGGGGACGAGTCCGGCGGAGGGAAGACAGGGCCGTAGACAGGAAGAGGAGGAGACGGCCGGGGAGGAACCGACGGAGGGTCGGGGGACGGAAGGCCGAGCAGGCGAAGGGCTGACACCGGCGGGGACTGCTGCTGCGGCGGCACAACGGTGACACCGGGACCGCAAGCTGCTCCTCGGCTACCACCGGCACTCTCCACACCAGCACCCCCAGAGGGACCACCCCCAGGGCTACCGGGACGAGCACCCCCAGAGTCAGCGAACGGGTGCTGCGACGGCGGCGGCAGTGGCGGCAGTGGCGGCGGCGGCAGCGACAACGACGGCTGCAGAGGCGGCAGAGGCGGTGGAGGGGGGGACTGGGGAGGGGACACCGGGGGAGGGGCAGCCGGAGAGGACTGCACAAGAGGGCCACCAGAGTCAGAAGACTCCTCAACCGGGTCCACCGACGGAAGGGGGGTGACGTGGGACACACCAGAGGGGGCGGGATGGGGAGGAGGAGGAGGAGGGGCAGGGACTACCGGGGAAGGGGTGGCCAGGAACAGGGGGGGGGTAACCGGGGGACCACGGTGGGGGAAGCGACGGTAGTAGGGGACGGACTCGTCAAAGGTGACGTTACGAGAGTGAAAGAAGCGGTGAGACGGCGGGTGGTAAAAGTGCCAGTCGGACGCGTCAAGGGGAAAACCGAGGAAGACGCAGGGAAGAGTGCGGGCGGTGAGCTTGTCCGTGCCGGAGGCACGAACGTGAGCAAGGCAGCCCCAGACGTGGAACGCGGACGCGTCACCAGGAGACCCAGTCCAAAGACGGGTCGGCGAAACCTGCGGCTGCTGAGGGTGCGGCCACAAGTTAAGCTGGTGAGAAGCGTAGCGCACAGCAAACGGCCACAGAAAATGGGGTGCACCGGCATGGATCATGGAGGTGCGAGCCACCTCCATGACCAAACCGATGCGTCGCTCAGCGACCCCATTCTGCTGTGGGGAGTCCGGTAGGGTAAACGTCTGGGTGATGCCCTCCGCACGACAAAAGCGACCAAGGACACCTGAGGCAAACTCGCCACCACGGTCTGAGTGAAGACGCAAGACAGGGAGACCGCGGTGGACACGCGCAGAGACAAGCCAGGGGATGAGAGCGCCAGGCACGTCGGCCTTGCGCTCCAGGGGAAAGACTGTGGTGTAACGAGTGAAGTCGTCGACGAGCACAAGGAAGTAGCGCTCTCGACGCGGTCCAGGGACGGGGGCGGGGCCCCAGACGTCCAGGTGCAGGGTCTGCAGCGGCGCGGCGGTAGGGGGAAACGAGGAGGAGTGAGGGGCACGGTGAAGCCGACCCTCGACACAAGGCGTGCAAGGTGGGGCTGGGGAGGAGGGAAACGCGGGGAGAGAACCTGGGAGACCAAGGACAAGACCGTGCTGGGACATGTGACGCAGACGCGGGAGCGCAGGGTGACCTAGGCGGTGGTGCCAAAGGAGGGTCGGGTGAGTGAGGGACCAACAGGAGCAGGCAGCAGCAACCTGGGTGAGCGCTCCAGCCGGGGGGGTCACGGTGTCCAGAGTGAATAGGCCGGACACCGGGTCCCGGGGGAACGTTGACAGGGGGGCACCAGTGGCGGCCTCGGTACAGACAGCATACCGCTCGTGACCAGGGAACGTAGTGGTGACGCCAAGGTCCTGGAGGCAGCCGACACCAACTAGGTTCCTGGAGAACGAGGGGATATGCAGACCTGTAAGAGAGCCCGAAGGAACCGCCGGAAAGGGAAGGGTGGTGGAACTGCGGGCGACTACCGGACCGCCGGAGGGGTCAGCAAGAGAAACGGCAGCAGGAACAGGAATCGGCATCAGGGTGGTGGAGTCGCGGAAGAAACACCGAGAAGCGCCAGAGTCCAAGGTGAAGGAAAGCGAAGTAGAGGCGTCTAGCGACGGAACGACGGCGGAAGCACCAAGACTACACAAAGCAGGGGATCCTACGCCTGACGCAGCAGGGGAGGCTACACTAGGCACACCTACACTAGGCAACAGTGAGTAATAAGCTGGAAGCACACTAGAGTCATCAGCATACATCACATGCAGAGCAGAAACAATGGCATCCATGTCCAGGTCAAAAATCAGAATACTACGTCTAAGCATGCTGTGCCAGTCCGGGAGGTCTGGCAACGGGCCGAAGCGCTGACGAAAGAGGTCGTCCAGGCGACGAAAACAGCGGGGAGTGGAGTGACCGATCTTACCGCAAACGAAGCCGCGGCGAGGACCGGTCTGGATCTGGTACTGACAGCGCCCGCCGCCAGAGCTAGCACTCGACACACCACCACGCGTCCGGCCACCGCCAGCGCCGGGCCACCCGAGCGGGAGGACACTCGTCTGCCGCGTTTGCGACGGCTGCTGCGAAGGCTGCGACTGCGGCGGCTGCTGCGGCTGCTGCAACTGCAGGGGCGGCGGCTCAGCTGGACTGGGCAGGGTCCCCTCGTCCGCTCCAGCACCAGACGACCCGACCCCACCACTACCCCCTCCCGCACCCCCGCCGCCGCCTCCGCCGCGCC